GGGGGGGTAGTGTCGGACTTGCCGACTAAAACCCTACGGTGGCCTACCTAACGCTTAACAGGAGTGCCCCGGGACCTCTTACGAATTGCTGCGGGAGCACTCCTGCGTCTTCTCCCATTCTGAGGGAGCCATTCCTTAAGCTTAATTTGGGCGTTGAGAGAGACCACACTTCTTAACACCATCCTCTGGACCGTCGTGCATGCACGAGGAGGACCCAGAACCTCCTCGGCATGACGATTATTATGACCACCTAGGGCGACGCAAAATCACCCTTCGACGCGGGACCGTACAAGGATGAGAAGTACTCACCCTCTCTTGCTCTGCCCGCCCCTTTGCGAGCATCATTTTTATGGAGAAAAATTTCAAAAAAAAAAATTCAGAAATATTTATTTGAATTTGAATTAATATTAATCTAGTAGAATTTGAGATGAATTACTCGCAATGTATTCATATGTAATGTATATTCATATCTTTTTCTTATCTTTGTTGGATAGATTTAGATTATTTTGATATACGATATTTGAGGAGCATTCCACTTGTTATCAAATTGTTATATATATCTTGTAATCGCAATAGAAGTAAAAGGTTAGATTATTAGAGATTAAAAGTAAAAAATGAAACCAATAAAGAGTACAATACTAACTTCCGTACTATTGCTAAAAATATAGTATTGTGCCTGCCCTTAATGCACCTACGAATATTAAAAAAAGAAACGAAAATAAAAAGTTCTAGTGTATTGAAAGAAGCACATATAAACTCCATTTTCAGCTAAAACATTTGCTGGATTAAATGGAACAGTAACCGGTTGGGGCGCATTAGAAGAGGCTGGCTCGATATCGCAAACTCTGCAGGAAGTGACGGTTCCGATTCTCACGAATGCCGAGTGTCGCGCAACTAAATATCCGGCGCGGAAGATCACAGACAATATGCTGTGCGCAGGTTATCAAGAGGGAAGCAAGGATTCGTGTCAGGTAATAAAAGAAAAATTCCTTTCGTTGTTGCTTCTAACATCTTTTCGATTTACAACACGTACGAATAAAATTATTACGTTTTTATACATTTGCATTTACACATATACATTGACACATATACATACATCAAACTTTTGTATACACGTTCGTCACTTAATATTAAAGAGAAATATATGTTGTTTAAAATTATAATGTTTGATTCCTTCTTTTTTTATTAGGGAGACAGTGGTGGCCCCTTACATGTTTTTAATGACAACAGTTATCAAGTAGTTGGTAAGATTCGTGTTCTATCGTTTGATAAAGAATAGAAATTCGGTGAAAGAGATACAGAGTGAGTCATAAAGTTGCGTATTACATGTCAATGAAAATAAGAAAACTTTTAATATTAGTAAATAAAAATATTTTTCCACATTCCTATAACTGAGTATTATATACAAACAGATTAATTGCTAGTGACTCTGGAGAAAGGAAATCTCTTATATATATTTACTTCAATTAAAAATATTTAATTAATAAACACCAACTTTCCAAATTCTTGTCCCAATGGCAATTGCAGAACATTGCATCTTTCTTAGTAAAATTACCAATTATTAATCTCAATCACAAGAGTAAAATCACAATAAAATTATCAGTGAGAAATGTGTTGATTTACAATCATATAATCGTAATGCAAAACAAATTCTTACTTCTCGATATACTTCCGGAATTCAGATTAAATTAGGATCCACTTTGTATCTCGTCCATTGTCTGTTTTATAGCTAAACGAATTTACACATCTAAATTCGCAGGAGTGGTATCCTGGGGCGAAGGATGCGCGAAGCCTGGCTATCCCGGCGTTTACAGCAGGGTGAATCGTTACCTCTCATGGATAGCGAATAACACCGAGGACGGGTGTTATTGTTAACATTGTATAACGATGAATAATAATCGAAAGGTCACGATACGTGTACAAGAATCTTGACTCATGTTTCGATTATTTTTCTATTCATCGTCCTGGCCGACTGAAAACTTAATACTCGCACGATTCTACGAGTGTATTTTTCAAAAGACTAGAATTCGTCCTCGTGGAATATTTCTTCCAGGAATTTAGGATTTTAACGAATTTTTATAGTCGACCATGAAACAATATGACTACAAGCTCAGCATATTTAATCTTGGTGGTCTTTCATTCAGTACTAAATTTATTTATCAACTATACATATATAGATTAACCCTCTATAATGTCAAAATTACGTATCTGTGTTTTTTAAATATTATTTTTCATATTTATTGTATCCTCTTATTACCAAGTAATCTATCAATAGCTATTGTTAATTTTTTGCTTTGATAAAAAAATTTAAGATTTTATATCTTAGAATTAAAGTTATGTCGAAACTTTACATTATGGAATATGAGAAAATGATCAAAATTAGTAAATAACGAAATTTCAATATATTTTCATGGCTAGGCCGAAGCCAAATGAATTAATTATTAATGACTGTGGGATGAAAAGAAAAGAAAGTATGTAATCATATGTAATTCTTAACTTTATTCTCAACTGTAGAGAAAGATAGAAGATTATAGAGGGATGAAATTAGTTTCATGGAGTTTACGAGAAGTTAAAAATAATAGCTAGCTTCGCGATCCGTTATTCTACGTCGATGCAGGCGAGACAATTGAAAATTAAGGCACGTATCGAGCGTCCGACTCGTACATAACATCGAACGCACGAGAAAGAAAGTCACCTGAACTTTCTCTGTTTTTTTTTTCAACGTGGAATTTCGGTGAAAACTCACGTACCTGCTACCCAATCGCAGCATGATTTGTCGTGTCACGAAGAAATCAAACGCCTATCGTGTCGTTTGCGTTACTCGTTATACAGTGAAACGTCGATTGTTCTTCATTTAATATAAATTCGATTATTTAAACGATTGATCGATCGATTTTATTACATTAAATTTGTAATATTTTCCACATTTTAGGTAATTTAAATATTTATAACAATCTATACGTAAAATGTTCGATGATACTCAACTTTTAACTTGATTGTAATTTTATCGTTGTAGTTTATTTATATTTGCGTTACAAACGAACTTTTTATATTGTTAATATTAAATAAAATTATTGAAATTTTAATCCCGATTGTTTGCAATTGCTTAATGAAATATTATCCTGTATAGCAACACATAATTTCTTTCTCCTCAGATAATTCTTTAAAATGATTTTTCTGTGATATTCTGAGACATAAGTTAATAATCTCCAAATGTTTTATTATATTTAACACAAACCATGCATTTAAGGTCTAACACCCATGTGTGCATCTTTTCTGTATAAAGAACACTGTTTTAAATATGTACTAAAAATGTTATCAGTTTTTAAGATATTGAAGCTAAAAGGTAATAATAGTAAAAACAAGGTACTACAGATATAGGTGTGAAAGAATTGATGTGGAAACGAAGAAAATAAAAAGAAAAGAAAATGTTGCGGGAGGAAGGATATAAAGAGCAATTGAGGAAGCTTAGCTCAGCAAACAGTCTCTTAAGCCTATAATATACCGGAGGTAGCGAGGAAAATAAGAAAGGAAAAAAGGGAGGAAATAACTAAAAGTTCGTTTACTATCTTTTTGTAACTAAATTCCGTATCTTTTTCATCATTCGACGAATCATTGTATAAAACATTTACATTAAATAACATTGAAATCTATGAACGAGTAACACCTAAAAAATATTTGAGTAAACGCATATGCCACGATTATTCACGAACTATCATATCTCTATACATCACCATAAAACTAAAACAATCTAATCAATATGTCGATTGTACGCGTGATTGCATGTTAATAAAGTGATTCTGATTGTTTCTAACACGGCCCCTTTAGTCAGAATATCCTATGCAGTATTTTTTCATTTTGTCAAAATATTTCATATATTTAATATATTTGAAATAAATGACTTTTGTTTCTTCATCTTTCAAGTGAAATTACTCTACAGAGGGTGTTATGAATTAAATGTTTTGAATTGAATATTTTAGAATGAATAAAAAAGGAAAAAGATATTTATGGCACAAAGAAAGTAATCAAACTTTATTTTCCCTCAATTTTTGTATGATAGAATGGATACTTTAACTAAGAGGGATCCAATCATTGAACCATAAAAAGAAGTATAATTAGTAAATAATTAGAATTATCTAACTCGCCATTTGACCACGTTTTAAATATCAGTGACTAGAAGTCCTTCCGGCTTAGTAGCTTGTTGCTCGGTCGATTTACCGTCCGTGTCTACTTTGTCGGATAACCAATAAGTTTCCATGTTACCTTTACCCTGCACGGAACAGTAAACCAACGAATTATACAACACGGTGTGCGGGAATCCCTAAATTAAACTTGTTGCGATACGAACCTTGACCCAAACCAATCCGCGTGATTCAACGTAATACCGATCCGGTGGTAATAACGCTTTCACATCCGATGAGATCTGCACCTTTCCAGGCTGAATCGTGAAAATGTTTAAACCACTGTGTACACTGATAAATTTGAATTGGTCGAACATGAAAATCGATTGTGTCGTAAACATAGGCAATGAAAGGATAAGAATTTTTATTTCTTTTAAATTATGACAGAACAAAACGCAGTATAGAATAGGGTCTAAAATAGTATGTGTTGAATTATTAAGTGAGAGTACTAAATCTGGATAAGTTGTAAGTTCGAAATGGCTATATATGTCTCGAAATTTAATTGTGATTAGCTTGTTTGTAAATTGTTAGAAATAATATTATGGAGTTTCTACGGCTGTATTTACTAGCGAGGTAAAACATAAGATATTTTAAAATGTATAAAATTATATTAATTCAAGTAATTCAATTTTGGTAATAGTAGCACATAAATTCAATGATTCTACCGCGTTCAATCCCTTCGTATAAAAAAGATTCACTCGTCTATTTAAATTTATTTTGCCTCGTTCTACTCATTCAATCCTTTCGCGGTGGAATTGACCATAAATAAATGAACTTACCAGACTAGTCGTTTGCATCCTAGAAGCAGTATTCACAGTGTCACCGAAAAAGCAATATCTAGGTACTTTGATGCCAACTACACCTGCTACAGCTGGTCCAGAATGGATTCCTAGGAAAGTAGAACACACTTGTATTATATTATGTTCGTTCTCGCTCAATTGCTCGAAAATATGAAAGAAAACCAGACTATCTGTCATAAAAACTAAGTCTACTTTGATGCCAACAGAAAAAAAAGAAAAGAAAAGAGGATAAGACACTAAAAAGAAAACGAAACATAAAAGATTTATTTCAAATGAATCTCGGGCTAAATTGTTTATATGACTTTTATTATCTGGTAAAAAAGAAAAAAGAAAGAGAGAAAAATAAAAAAGAATTGAATTATAAAAATTGAAATATATTGGAAACAAATCTCGTGTTAAGTTACCTATACGAATTTGAATATCGACACCAGAGGGTAACTTAAGGGATCGGACGTGTTTCAGCAGCTGCAGCGAAACGTCTGCGATATTTTGCGCGTGATTTTCCGTTCTATCCGGCGCACCACTGGCTGCCATATAGACCCGGCCGACTGTTTCTACCTGTTGAAAGTCGTGAAGGTAAAATATCTTGCGTTGAAACGTCTATAAAACTATCGGTGCATTCTGTTCTCACGTGTATTTTTATTTTATTTTTATTCTGACAATAATGCAGTGGAGTGCTTAAATTACATATGAAACTCACTTTGTATACGTTAAATTCATCCATCAGCGAGTCGAAACAAGAAAAAACAGCGTTCATCGACGAAACAATGTCCATTGCACCTTCGATCGTTGAATAATCGAAGTCGCAAAGCTCGCAGAATAAGACGGAAATAGACTCGAATGACTATAAAAGGAAAAGAATATTGAAACACTAATCTATCGGGCATCGAAGATTTTGACTCCTTGCTTTGTAACAATTAATTTTTTCTCTATTACAAATTTTTTATATTTAAAGTAATTAAATATGTGTATATAATAGCTTTCTATTTTAAACAAATTCTACTCTGTCATTTCATCTATTCGAAATTTCTACTCTCATAGCTTAACCCTTACACTGCATAATTAATTGCTCTAATTCGAAGAATCTCAATTTTAGAATAAAAAGAAAGTTCTGTAACCTTCGCTCTTTTTTATATCTTTCACGTTGTCAGCAGCTATACCGTCGTCAGCATCGTCACAATGGAAGAAAATATATTCTAATAGCTCGAGGATCAAAATCATATCCCTTCATGAATTATGGACTGACGACTACAGTAAAATATGGCAGCGTAAAGGTTAAAGTTTAACATGATCAATTACCATAATATTTCGAATAAAACTGATTACGGTACGGTAATATTTCGCAGAGATAACGTCCAATATTTATACAGTGTCCGTTATGCGAGCGACAATCGTGACAAAATCCAATATATGCATATTTATACACTTTGCTACAAAGAATGATAAAATATATTACAATAATATTTCGTAGACACATTACAATAATATTTTACGAGATCTTGAAAACGCTAAACACTCAAAATATTACTTTACTAAATCTTCAAATACCTCGCAAGTGCTTAAAGGACAAGCTCCAGCACGCAATCGATCAGCAACCGTCTGTGGGATCATGGAATACAAAAGCTCGTCACTCTTATTCTTCCAGCGATCCAGCAACGCGTAGCTGTTTTCCAATTCGGTTGATCTCTGCTCAGCTCTCTCAAACATCATCTCTAATCTGACATAACGCATCGAAACATATATGTATTTTGTCGATGACAATGTATCTAATTGAAACGAGTGGAATTATAGTTCAGTCAATCTTACCCGTAGTTAAAAAATAATATTGTACCTTCCGCAATGTTGCCATCCGGCGAGTACTAACTCACGACTCAAGCCATGAGGATTTAGGTCGTTCAGGTACAGGCCCATGTTAAGCAATTCGTCTAAACTGTTAATTCTGTCGAAGATATTTTGATTGCCTTATATTCTTACCGGCTTCGTTCTTTGGTATTTTGAGATGAGCAACTCAGAAGCCGTATTCATCAACTATTATACATGGAATATTAAAAACTCATATAATAGAAAAATGATATGTCATTATTATCTAAAATTAGTTTTCGAATTATCTTATTTTAAATTCATTTAGAATTTTTTATTATTAGATATAGGATCAAATATAAGGATAAGAAATTAAGAATATTATATCAAAAATTAAATTGTCAAAAAATACAAAGAAAAATATGAGCTAGTAATTTTAATAGAATCTTTTCACTCTTTATATAATTACGTACTAACCAATATCCATCCATACTTTTCCATTAAAAAATCCAATTTTCTTCTCACCATAAATAATCCATTTTAAACTTTTGAGCGATAGCGTAGGCCACTACCTTTGTAAAAGTTGAATATCAATCACATAATCATAACCAATAAAATCAATAAAATCGAGATAGATTACATCAAGTTGACCAATTTAGCTTCTGAGAGGCTCATATATACATATGTTCGTCAACTTACAGGGGACTACATAAGAAAATAATTGCTTTAAGATCCTCGATATATCTCATTTGACCTTTCAATAGTATGCTCCTGGCTCCTTGACTGCCTCGCCTATCCAATCCCGAGCTGGAGCTTGGGGTATTGTCCGAGTTAGATGAAGCATCGTTATCGTTTAATCTGATCAGCTCCAATTCGAACATCACAGAATGCAAGTACATCACCTGTCCACATGCAGGTAAGTTATCACTTTGTCAAAGACTTTGATAAGTATGGATGCCAATTAAGGAATAAATTGTTAATGAACTTATTAAGGAGGAATTAATTACGATGGTTATGTTGCGAGAGAGTAACTAAGACGAGCTTTTCCTAAGAAGATAGTAATGAAATATTATTTTCTTGGAAAGTAGGTAGACTTTTATAAAACTGATAAAATACGTAATCAAGGTTCCTTGTTGATCAATTTATTAGTTAGTACGCGGAGTAATGGCGATGATATTGAGAATTTCTACTTTAAATTTTACGTATGAATTTTTATATATATTGAGAATTTAAAGTAGAAGTTTACAATATTAATGAAAACTTTATGAATGTTTAGGTAAATTCATAGTGAAACTTAAGCAGAAATTTTCTTCACCCATTAAATATTACTCCTACGTGTTTTTAGTGTTACTTGGAAGAACTATGCTTTATAAAGTATGTAAAAATGTAATTTAATTTAATGTCCCATTTCGTTTGATAAAATCATTAATTTGTAAAACAATGTAGTATAATAGTAATTAAAATAAATATAAGTTTAGAAGCGTTGAGAATTATTTTCCAAACGTGTAACTTTTCGAAATAGAAAGTTATATCAGCTCAATATGAAAGACCCTTATACAAAAAGACATTTTACATGGATATGAGATATAGTTATATAATGCAATATCCTTATCCCTTAAGAAAATTAGACACTTTCTGCTTCATTTGTCATAAAAAGCTCCCTTACATTTCCCCACGTGAAAGATATCCCTTTAGGCCTACGGAATTTAAAAACATCCGTGACGTGTTTATTCAAAATGGACGAACTGCCACCCCATGCTTGCAGGAGTTTATCACCGGCCCCCAATATCTTCATGTCTTTGTTGATTACCACTCCAAATGGGAAAAGACGTAAAAGGAACGATATTGACACCGGTGCTAATTCACGGCCAAGTGGAGTTTTCATACTGTTGTTCTTTGCGATCTAAGAACGTGAACATGAATAATTTTAAAGTTTAAGTGGAGATATATATGTAAATACAAAGAAAATAAAAAATAATTTTATTTTATGAAAAAGCATGGAAATTTTATATCGAGTATGGCGATGAACATTGTAAGAGCTAGAATAATTTATTCCAATGTTCGAAGCTAAAATCTTAATAGTTTTTTAAATTTACATTTTATATAGAGGTTTTATATTGATTAAAAATAATTCCTTTTTATTAGAACAGATAGTTAGTAAACGATACAAAATTTTCATTTTAACTCCCCGCCAGCAATATAGGTCGTCAAGGTCCAGACGAAATTTTTATTGTTTAATTTCTCCCAAACGAAGGTGTCAGATAAAAAAAACTTACATCTACAGGACTCTGACTGAGTAAATACTGTTTGCTTCAGTAGCCCCGATTCAGTTCTAAATACTACGAGGGTAATATGAGCACCATACCTTCAACGACTCATATTGCCGCCCACGTCATTTTAATGTCGCGTAATTTTTTTTTCATTTCCATATACAATGTACTAACCTCTTAACGATCAGTGTTTCATCTGGCTTTTATGTTCCTTATACTTTAATAAGTATGAGATACACAGTCTTTCTTTCTCAACGCGTGTCTCGTGTTATTTTTTAATAATAAATAATCCACTCAAAAATCTCGCAAATATAGATCTTAAAATGATTATGCTTTTCTAAGGGTTGAGAAATTTCTTGATATTTTTTCGAACGATCATAGTCTTATCGGTAAAATCCTATAATAGGTTCTTAAAATATTTGTTTATTACGAAATTGTGTACTTTCAAACAATTTCCCATTTTTTTACAACTTTGTGTCAAATTTTTATTTTTATTGGAAAAAGATTTAAACATTTGGCTGAAGTATCACTTGTATGGTAAATTAAAGACTATGATAAGTATCTGAGAATTTTTTTAGATATTTTTAAAGTTGAAAATAGTAAGAAATTAGGTCAGGGATTGGAAGGCCCATAATGCCGACCGGCTTAGTATTGCCGACGAGGGGTTAATTATTAAACTATAACTTATACGTATACCTACTCGTATATCATGGATTGAAATATTTCTATGTAATTACTCACGTATTCACGATTGTCGAAATCAATTCTAAATTTAACCATTACACTTCTGGATCCAGGGATATTGTTTGAACTTCCTAATACTCGTATGACTAAATCTGTTTCGTAAAGCTCTTTCGCTATTTGAAATAACTGACCTAAGGAAAAATATGAAAGTGAACCTTTGTTGTATATTTTGTAACAAATTTATATCGATTTTATCTTGTGAAAAATAATTTCTTGCATCTTTTAGATATTATTATATATATATATATATATATATATATATATATATATACATATATAATATAATATATATAATATTTATATAATATATATTATATATATATATTATTATATATATATATAATATATTATAAGCGAAAGTTAAAGTAGAAGCACTCGTAAAGAGTAAAAGACTTATCTTAAAAAGTTGTGTTATCTTACCCATAAGATAGTGCGTAAATCCTTTCCTGGTGCTTCGATAAACTAACACCACACCCTGTGGGTCGACGTGTGTAGTGTACATCGAAGGACTTTTCATACGTGGATACGTGAATCTCATTTGCATGTGAATATTGTCGACGTTTTGTAGAAAGTCACAAAAATAACGACCAGTGGCTTTTATCATGCAGGCATATCTGTGACAAAGATAATAATTATTATCGAATTTTAATCCAGAAGAATCTCAATTTTACTTTTTGAATATTTTGAAGAATGGAAACGGCAGTGACACGAAACAAGGATTCTTATACAATTCGAAAGAAATGTTTTATCAACCCTTGCATTATCAGAAATTCACATCAAAATAAAATTCGTTTAGTTCCACTAAAAAAAAAAAAAAAAAGAAAAAATAAATATATTTCGAATGAATTAAAATGAATTTC